TCGTTCAGGGAATCGTTCCGAACTTTTCTTGCCGTTCAGGTAATTCTGCTTTGCTTTTGGCTTCCTTCTCAGCTTCTTGAGCCATCCGCATTGCAGGGTTAACCTTCTTGCCAGTGTCCGATTGTCCAGTGATAAACCGTATGAGGAGGTCATCTTCCTCAGCCCTAGTTCGTGCTATCAGGGCGTAGACGTCATCTAACTTGATCTTCCATTTTGGTGTACTTTGGAAGATGGGGTCATCGACGTGTGCCAGCAGTGGTCCTTTGCAGTATTGGCGCTTGATGGAGAATTCCTCATCAGGGATTTCTTCAATGGTTACGTTTAGGATGGATTTTCTCTTTCCAAAGTCAATCCGTCCAGTAACCCAGTTGATCTCTGGGTTGTTCTTCTGTAACCAAGGTAGTCCCAAAATGACGTCTTCTTTTCCCAGGTCGGTGACCAAAAATCGGATAGAGCGGACTCGATCTCCAATTTTCATCTGTAGGAATGCGGCCTTGGTAATGAGACCTTGCCTGTTCTTGGTGCCGTCAACATTGAAGACCTTGATTGGTTTAGGTATAGGGACCGTCTTCAGCTTGTTTGTCAGCACAAACTTCTGGTCGATAAAGATTCCTCCAGCCCCCGAATCGATGAGAGCTTCTGCAGTTGTTTCAGCGCTTCCCTTTCCACGTGATAGCAAAATTTCAATCTTCATTGACTGGTCAACAGTCTTTGCTATTGTTACAGTAGAAAGGTAGGAATGAGACGAGCCTGACGCTGATACAGGTCGTCTTAAGCAAAATCCTTCTCCGCCATGTCTTCGAGGAGCTTGATCTTATCGTTCTCTTCAAGTTCTGCCATCATGGCTTTGATCTTGGCGATATTAGACACTTCTTTGGTTGAGTCTTCTTTGACTTCCGCGGTACGGACAGGCCTTCTCTCTGGCTGTCTCCCTTTGTCCTGCTTGTGATCGGCAGCTCTATGTCCAGTCTGACCGCAAGTGAAGCATCGTCCTTCCTTCATGTACTTTTCCCTTTCGCTGGT